CGTGCGCTCAACGGCGTTTATTGGTGTCGTGAACAATGTTGCCCGCCGAGCCTGGCGGCCGCAGACGGGCGGACTGGAGGGGGGCGCTACATACTTGTTACATGACCGATATCAGCAGGGAAACCTGCGTGCCTGGGAGGTGTTGAAGGCTCATCTTTGGCGGCAACGCCCTCCTCGTCATACCTGGGCGCGCCCCGTTGCTTTTGCGATGCCAATGCGCAGGACAAATGCGCCGCGAGTCACGTGTTCCGAAGTGTGCCAAGGGCCATTGATTTGGACATGAGACCAACGACTGCGCCAAAACATACGCGAGTACAGTCGAACCGGCTGCGACGGAAAATGCAAGCGTCATCGAAATGGGCGCTGGAAAAGCGCAGGGCGCAGCTTAGTGCATAACTTGAAGTATACCACTGAACAACCAAACGTAATTGTTTTCCCAGTTAAAACGAGGGCGAACGACGACGGGAAAAGCGGCTGCCTAAAGGCCCGTTCACACTCTTGCAACCGAGTACGACTGAGCGGAGCTGGTCCTAAGAAGTCGCAAGAGGCTTAAAAACCGGTCTGGTCTCTCTCGGTCTTACTCGGTCGCAAGAGTGTGAACGGCGCTTAAGAATCCTGGTGGTGAACCCGTTCATGAACTTAAAGCTGCCGGTCAGGCACTAGAGCGGCGGTCTGCCACGACGGACAAGGACGGGCATCCCAACGACCCACAGGAGGGCGAGAAGATAAATTCTACAAACCATCAACCAGATGGGGCATTGATGACATGCCGTGCACCGCGTTCCGCCTTAAAACCAGGGCTGCAATCCACGGTGTTCGCCGAACGAGGACGGTCTGCCCAGGGGGGCCATGTTGCGCTTTTTGCACTCCCAGGAGACTAGGGAGAGGGAAGTGACGTCAACGACACAGCAAACGCAGATTGGGTGTTGATTTCGTTTTCTTCTGTCAACATCCAATCTGCATTTGCTGTGTCGTTGACGTCACTTCCCTCTTCCAAGTCTCCTGGGAGTGCAAAAAGCGCAACATAGCACCCCTGTTGCCCGGCACGACCATGCACGAACGGTCTTTTGAAAAACCTGCGGGACCTTTCTTTTTCTTCCCTGCGTATTGGTGTTGTGTTCACGACCAAGAAACTGTATTCACAACCTGAAATGAAAAATGCCCCCCCCCCTCTTCCCCCCCCCCCCCCCCCAAAAGAAAAACTTGGGAAGGTTTAGAACTTTAGGCAGTACTAAAACGCTCTCATTAGGCATTTTTAAAAAAAAATGTATGCAATTTTAGCGCATGCGTCAGGGCATGCTAAGCAAGGAGCTATAGAATAGCATGTCCCCACCGCGTTACAAAAACCCAAGCATCTCGGCTTGCGACGGCACCAAGATACAGTAATCGTTCTAATTTCACACACGTAACTGAAGAAAAAAAAAAAAAAACAAGTTTTGGGGTCCAGATAAACATTTTAAATTTGCCGTTTAAATATAAGTCTGCGACGTGCGCGGTCGACCGGTCGTGTACGCTTGCGTCGTCTCGGCAAGATAGGTCTCGTGTTGTACTGAACTTCGCACACTGTACCTTCGCCGAGAATAACTAACGTGTCGCAACAAAGCAAGTCGCCGGCGATAGACGCCCATCTTGCTGGGTCTTCCAAACCGTTTGTGATGTGCACCTCACGTAGGAGTGCGATGTCGCCATGTATTGAAAAGTGCAGTGGCGAAGATGCCGCCGACGTCGCGCTCACGACGACCGACAAAGCAGCCGCAGCCTTGCCCGTCCGGCGTCCGTGCTCACGTCGATTGCCATCCCATCTGTCTTCTTAAAAAAAAAAAAAAAAATGTTTGCGTAGTCGACAGGATTCGAACCTGTGTGGGGAGACCCCAATCAATTTCTAGTCCATCGCCTTAACCACTCGGCCACGACTGCGGGATGAGTAGGGGGCTCTGAGATGTGGTAGTAACTCAAGAGCTGGGGATGTCATGGATGAAACTTTGCATGTAGCCGCTCAACGTCTATACAGGAGAGGGCGCTGCGGTCAAATGCGTATATAATCGCGTTAAACTTTGCATGCATTGGCTCAACGTTTATAGACGAGAGGGCGCTGCGGCCAAATGCTCAAAAAATCAGTATCATCAGCACCACCAGAGCTTCGCCCCAATCAACATCATTCACTACGTGGAGATGCGGGCATTTTTTTAACTGTACTCGTTTTGGCGAACATCTGGTGCATCACGAATCCTCCTTGGAGGCCGCAAAAAGTCTACGTACGCACACAATTTTTCAAAATTAGAGTACGCTGAAATCGCGCACGCAAAATGCAAAACGCGGTTAGCGTTTAGTGCATGCGCAATGGCGACGACGCTACGACGCCATTTTTCGCGTAAGCAAAGTCTTTGCGGACGCTATTCTATATATATATATATATATATATATATATATATTTATATTTATATATATATTGTTGTTGTTGTTGTTACACTTTATTAAGATAAGGATGGCGCGACGGCCTGGAGGGGACGGTTTACAGGGGAGGATTAAAGAAAACTAAAATTAAGGTTATATCCTTCGGTCAATGCCCGTCGCGCGCGCAAAGTCCCAGAGGGACAGCAGCGTCTCTTTCGCACAGGCACTACTCTTGGGGTTAATCCAGTCCTCGTAAGCACGCACATTGGGGTCTAGAAAACAACTCCGTTCAGTTTGGAGCCCCGCACACTCCCACAGTAGATGTCGGACCGTAGGGGGAACCCCTGTAGAACATGTAGAGCAGGTCACCGTCGGGCTGGGAGCCTCGGTTGACTGCGCTGACTCGGAGTGGGAATTCGTTTGTGAGGTGGATGTATCGCCTGAGTATTCTGTAGCAGGCGGGCACCCTCTCTTGGGGGTGTAGGTTGAGAGCTGGCTTGAGGTCTGCTGGCCTTCAGATGGGCTAGTGCCAGATGAATGGCATCTAGTTCAAGGCGACAAGTGCTGGGGTCTTGTGAGTAGTGGTATGTCTCGGTATGCGCGTCAGTGCCGGTGACCCAGGCAAGGGTGGCTCGTTGGGTCGCTTCACACCAGGCATTGTCGGTAAAGATGTCTATTGGTGTTCTACCTTTGCGGTCGACTAGGGATGCTCTTTCCTCTCGATGCTCTTCCCGGCTCGTTCTTCGGGTGAGAGGCTTAGGGAGACGCACCATGACGTCTTCCCATGGAGGGACACTCTTGAGGATTGGGTCTTGCGGCCTCCCTGGAGAACGGCGAGGTACTTGGTGTTGGTGAGTCAGGAGCAGCTGTCGAGCCACAAGGGATAAACGTCGGCGGAGGCGGCCCGTGTTGCGAGTGTCAATTATCGCTTGGATGAGAGGAGGGTCGGCATAGCGGTGCAGATCTTCCGTCCGAGCGTGACGGGGGAGGCCCGTAATGGCACGGAGGCACGCGCGATGGAGTACTTCCAATTGGGAGATTTGCGCTTTTGTGAGGTCAAAACAAGCAGCTCCGTAGCAGGCCTTGGATGTCAGTACTGCCTGTGTGAGGATACGAATAGTCCGGGTACCTGCTTCCCCGAAACACGTGGCGATGCGTCGGATATATATATATATATATATATATGACAATATGCGCGAGCTCTTTATCTATTGTTGGTAAAGTACTCCTGAAATCACTGTAAGTAAAGTATAAAATAAGTTAAAGGTTATGCATTTCAAGTAAAGTATTAACTACACCAGGTGCAATGTATCTTAAGGAAAGTACTATGAATACAATGCACTCTCAGAGTACTATAAATGCAAGTATTTGAGCGAAGTACTGTAAATACAATGTACTTGTGTTGTAAAGTAAAAGTTTTTTTTAACACTCTTTAATTGGTAACTTTTCATTCCCCTAGATTTTTTTTTTTTTTTCAACTGATATGCATTGTCCTAGGTGTAATCGGGGGTGCATCAGTTATTCTCGGGAATGGTTGCGAATAAGTGGAATGATGTCAGTGGCCACAAAGTAGTTGTTTTACTCTCGTTGACGAACACAATAAACATATAAAACACTTACTTGTCGACATCATTATTTTGTGATACAAAATTAAAAATATCAAATTTGTAGAATATAACTTGAATTCGGGACCTGTGCCTTCCTCGAAAACTACAAAGAAAACACATTAAGTAATATACAAGTACATAATCATAGAATGTAATTCAATTAAAGTACAGGTTTTCTAAACCTACTTGAAGTAGTACTTTAAGTACAATGTCCTTAAAGAACTTCCCAACCTTGATTTTAACATATGCACTTTCAATATCGGGGCTCAAGCAGAAAACAGAACCGTTTGATTCTGAGGTACACTGCGCTGCAAAGTTACACTTAACAAATAAAGACGTTAACTATGAGGTGTGTATTAAAGAGAGTTAATAACATGACGTACTTGTGAAAGCGCAGACTAGAGTGTACTAGAAGCACGGTGTAAGATAAAACTCTTCAATTGAGGACAGCGCGCTCGCCGCGCACTGCAGATAAAGTTCGCTCTTCACTCTCTCTCTTTCTCTCTCTCACTACGGTTTCAAGCGGCGCCGGCAGATGTCTCGTCGACCCGTGGGCACGGCAAAGACGGCTCGTGCCGCCTCATGCTCCACACGCGCAGAGCTCCATAGAGGTTGTCGCTCGTGCAGAAGGACCACGGTGTACCGAGGTGTCATGGCAACGAGATAATATTTTCGCTCGCCGTTTGGCCGCCGGCGACACCGTCAGCCGCGGGTACGGTGGTCGCGGAATGATGCAGCCTTTGGGATGCCCGTCGAACGAACGCTATCTGTTTCCTCGCGCCGCGCGTTCAGCCCCGCCGTGTCCTCGTGGGGTATTCACACGAGGGAGAAATCCCGGGGATTTCTCCCCGGCACGCGCGCATCACGAGATGAAAACGCGAGGCTTTTGCACATCGCAAAGCCTGACGTTTTCGTCGTGGGATGCGCGTTCACACGAGGGAGAAAGCCCGGGGATTTCTCCCTCGTGTGAATGCCCCTTAAAGGGATACTGAACCGATATCTGAACTTTTCAAAATAAGCCCCGGACGAGCTGCCCGGGACGTTACTATACCTAAAAATCAAGACCATACCAAGGGATGGTGATCGGATTATTATATTTCTTTGATTGAAGAGCCGCGTTCGAGCAATCCGTCGGCCGGAAGCCGCCGGTGCGATTGACGCCACCGCGGAGGAGCCCTAGCGGAACTGACGTCACAGACCTCTCGCTCCTTGGCAGACTCGGTTGTCCCGCTGCAGTCCTAATGGAGAACCGCGCCGAGTGTTCCTCATTCTGATCCAGTTTCTTCAATAATTATGCCGCGGTACTGCGCTGCACAAGACTGCTCGAACAGCGTATGTTACAGCGGCAGACCTGCGCACAAGTTTCCGAGTGAGCCCACGTTGCGGAAGCTGTGGATTCGCGCGGCCCGTCCTTCCCAGCCAACATGGAAGCCCGCCAAAGGCGATTGTCTTTGCACGGAGCACTTCGAAGACGAGGACTACAAGACGAGCCCGAAGTTACTGCAAAGTCTGGGCTTGCCTGTAAAACAGGCCTATTTGAAGCCTGGCGTGGTGCCATCGCTCTTCACGCGAAAACGCAAGCGAGAGCGGCACAGCGGCGCCGTGGAAAAACGGCGACGGAAAGAGGTGAGCGCAGTTACTAAAATATTTTTCTGCTTGTTTCTGAGAGGAAAGCACGAATGCGAGTGGTCGTGAGATTAGCGTAGTACATTGCGCGACGCTGTTAGCGCAAGCCTGCTAACTCGCCTTTGAGGACGAGCGCGGAGAAACGCCGAGATCGCGTTTTCGCTAGCAGCGTCGCGCAGGGTAAGTGTGTACTATATCCGTGTTCGCTATCGTGCCCTTAGCCGGACGAAAGGTTGCCGCCAATCGCAGGTGCTCCACTGCCGGTATCGTGTACATGGCGAGACTGCAGCTATACTCTGTTTCACCTTTGTACCGCAGGAAAGGCTACAAGCTCGAGCTTGTAGCCTTTCCTGCGAGCTCACAGCGTAGGCAGCTGCCTACGCTGTGAGCTCGCGATTCTTGCCTTCGTTGCGGTACAACATAAGGTGAAACGGAGTATAGTAGCTGCGGCGATGGCACTCGGTTTTCGGGCTCATTTGCTAGAAACTTGCTTTGAAGCTACGAGCTTGCGCCGGCACCTTTGGCTCAGTTGTGAAGGCTGGTATTTATCTTTATTACTACTGATAAATGCCAGCTAATTTTAATTTGAGAAATTTGGCATAAACCAATAAATATCGAATTTTGATTTGGGCTACCTGAAAATGACACATAGGACCGAGCTGAACCATTCCTGGGAGAATGTGGTTAATTGATGATCTACGTACTTCCTTTTGATTTGCAGCGGGTATATTCCGAGCTTGAGCAGGATGTGCAAACTCCGCGGCATCTTGAGCATGTGCTATTCTTCATTGTGGCGCATAAGGAGATGCTGTTGAATTTTGGAATAGGGTACTCACAGTATGAGTGCCACGCCATTTAGAAAAGTGTGCCTGTACACATCATTCTGTTTTGGAAAACTCATTTTCCTCTCTGGTCTGCTCTCCCTGATGAGGTGGTCAAGCTGCTGTCGCTTCATCTGTTCAGTGTTAACCTGGAAGGCAGTTTCTCTCAACTGCGGAAAATAAATGAAAAAGAGCGCTGCAGTTTTTTTTAATGAGAACCTTGTTATGGTACATATTTCCACCCCTTGTTTATATTTCTGATTACTATGACGATATCTTAGTTATAGACCAACACGCGGCCCTGACGTCACGCAGCTGCGGTGGCACTCTTGACGGCACTGCGCAGGCGCAGAGGCTTCACTTCACGTGAATTCGGTTTCTGCGTTCGCACAGTCCCCACACCTGGTGTGGGCAAATGCAGGCTTTTTTGTAAACAGTGTGCCGGTTTATAAGATCTTGTTTCGTCTATGTTCTTCCCATACATTGAATACATGCTCGCAGTAATGCTTCACGTCGACAAGTGCCGAGAATGCCTAAAAACCTGGTGGTGTATGGAATTAAATTGCAGCAAAAATCAATTCTAGTGCCAAAAATAGATGCTGCTAAACGCGTGCCAATTTAGAACAAAAATAAACACTGCGAAATCTTTTGCTGAGTTACTCTGTCTTAATCTCGCGGAATGTGGTGTTTATTTATAAAGTTCACTAAGAACACCAGCTGGCCATTTATGACAACTGCACCCCAATCAAGAGGTTATTACAAGTGTTGTTCAATTTCTCGATTCGAGGCAAGGCCACTAATTAACCTCGGTCGTCATTCGACCGTTTCATCTTAGTGTTCATGACTGTGCACTTGACGGTGTGATTTGCTTACCAGTTCAAGCAAAGTCAAGATGAGGAGGGTACACAGAGTGACATGAGCCTAACGAAGATAAGGGCTTGGGCCAGTCACCCTCATTTGAGCAGAACCTGGGTGTTAGCAGCATATTGACAGTGTGTTTGTTTGCATGTTGTAAGTTTTTATGCCTATCATTTATAGATAATTGCTGAATTGCTGGAGGCACCGGCACAAGCAAAGGCCACACTCATCGCTGAAGAAGTCAGCACATCGTCAACCCCTTCTGGTGACGACACTGAGCAAGGTCCTGACTCCGGACATGAACCGATGCATGATGCAAATGCTGGCATCGAAGAACCTTGTTCGAGCTCAGGTATGTGCGCCAATTGAAACTACTCGGCTGACATATTTTAGTACTGAATTCTGCCAAATTAGGGTAATCTAGCCTATTGCTGATTACATGAGCCAAGGATGATTTTGTTTTGAAAGACACTTTATTTCCTCTGCTGTGAACAGCCCCCTCCATCAGTAATGCCAAACAGGCTCAACCTGACCTTCGGAACGCTGCTACGCAGACCTCGGGCATCTACAGAAATCGAGGTATGTATCTGCAAGAAGAAATTTCACAGAAGGCAGCATTGTTCAGATCGTTGTAACACGTTATGATGGCACAGGCATACAAGTCACCTTGAAGACTTCATCACGAAAGTCCCAAACGAATCCTGTCCTCGTGACACCACGATGCTCCTCACCAAATCATGTCCCCCAAGCTCCATTGGATTGGATGTTGCCTGAAGGGCTGACTCTGTCGCCGCAGCCGCCAGTGCGCAGACAACCAGCTCCACCGCCGGACCCACCACAGCTGCCAACAATAAACAATGAGCTGCCCAGTGCAGGCCAGGAAGAGTCTGTTGAAGAGTGTCCCACGGAGCTGCCAGAGCCACACGTGGAAGCAGACAGCCTATACCTCCCCTCTGACGCTAGCTTCCTCATGATGATGTCCGACACCGGCTTTCTGAGGTTGGTATCAGTCGGATATATGTCATCTTTAGTGACGAGTATGAGGGGTGTGTAAGCGGTTGCTTTTTTCTTTTCTTTTTTTATTCCAGGGATGCACAGCAGAACACTGCATCTGACAGCGCACTCAGTCATCATGAGAGCAGCAAAAGCATCGACTACGTCTCGGAACGAAAGTTTATTGTTTTCGAGTCTTGTTTGGACGAGCTACTAGGTAATTGTCCCGAGTGCACTGCACTGTGCCGCATCACAGAAAAGAAGATCAGAGGGACATGTCTCCGGGTGCACAGAATGTGCAACAATGGCCACCAACACACCTGGACCAGCCAACCATCAGTGAATAGGAGGGCCCTGGGCGATGTGCTCCTAGCTGCAGCAACGCTCTTCTCTGGGAGCATCGTCAAAAAAGTGCTAAGGCTCCTCCACCAGATGGGCGTGCCCTGTTTATCGTACGAGACACACTTTAAGATTCAGGGTGCCTTCCTTCTACCAGCGATCAGACAGGTATGGCACGTTTTCTAGCTTTTCCTTTCCTGTGAGAGGTGTATTTTAGGTGCCAATATTTCAGGCTCAGCACTCCTATGGGATCCTGAATGGTGTAGTACATGCGTAGGAAGTACCATATGTTTCTGTCTACAAGTCACACACTCCTATAAACGGCTGTTTTTACAAAAAGCTTGATATATACATGTTTGCAAGTGCGTCTTCAGGGTGCCTCCATCTTGCCGAGTTGGGTTGTGCTTGGGCGCGGCCATAGTCTGATTACGACACCTTAGTGAGGCATCGTAATCGAATTTAATGCGCCCAAGTGCACTCCAACTGGGCAAGGTGGCGGCGCCCCGAGGCCGTACTTGCAAACGTCTATAGGTGGCACATCTTTATACGGGCCGCAAGGCAAAACTGCATTGATAAGCTGTCATATGTATATTGTAATATAAGCACAAGTAAGAGCCAGCTTCAATGTTCTTGCGAACTACCGTGGGAAATTTGTTCTGATATGGCCGGCTGTAAGCTCTGCTGGAAGCCGGCATATTGCCAAGGTTCTAATTGTAAGGAAAAGCTGATCCGCCGACCCGAAGGCCACATCTAATGGATCTAGGTCTGTACGATTCAATATACTGCAGCACCCGAGGCTACATCTAATGGATCTAGGTCTGTGCGATGCCATACAAACTACAGGCTCTGCCGATTCTCCTTTGTTGTAACTTTGATACGGCCTTGCACAGCTATGGCTTATACTTGCAAAAAAAGCGGTGTAAGTCGCACCTCTGTGTAAGATGCAGTGACAGGAATTTGAGGAAAGAAACAACTTATGTGCTGGAAAATATTGTAAATAGGGAGAGCTGAGATGTCCTCTGTTCCTCTGCACCTATTTTTACCACACTCCTGGGGTGGAAAGGTACCAACTGTGTGGGCAAAGCAAGTATATACAGGGTTCATGGCACATACTTCAAGCTCGAAGACTCGCCGCATTCCATGTGGGTGAATTGTCGCCCTATGTGTTTCTAAACGTGGAGGCAACGTTTTTAATTAGTTCTTATTCTCCTGCTTCGTGACTGATTGCACCTACTGGATAAGTGTACAGTGTAAAGGGCAGATTTTGATTTGGGAAATAAAGTAAAAGAATCAAAAATAAATGTTTCCCAGGCCGATCGTAAAGATTAATCGGCGAGTACTCTATTTTTTATACGGGGTGGCATTTCTTCAAGGTCAAAAAAACGAGCCCGCTCTTGAGAAGGCGGCTCCTCGGCAGCCAAACTGTCCTTGTTGATTGCTACGAGGGGAACAAGACCTGAACAGGCAGGGGTGTATGCGACCTAAATAAGTGCAAAACTATGCTTCTTGAGTTTCAATACGAAAAATGTCAAAAGCTATTCATCAACTAGCCCCTGCATAGATAATAGAAAGTAAAAAAGTGTTTTGCCAATCTACCTAGTAGTGCATATGTGCCTTCAATATTTATACTCACGACTCGGAGCATTTCATCCCCTCATTTTGAAAAGAAAGAAAGACGAATTACAATTTGTCAATGCTTTGATCGCATTTACTGGGATTCAAACTTAAATGCTGAACTTCCATGGACGTTCACATAAAGAAAAGAAGCTTGCAGTATACTTATAGGTGAAATGAAAAGCATGTTCAGGATTTATGTTTGTTTACAAAAGTCTTTGCAAATAAACTTCCAGGTGTGGAACAGGAAACAAAACGAGCTCTTCGAGCAAGCAAGTGGACGAGAACTGGTCCTCGCTGGTGATGGGCGGTCAGACTCCCCCGGGCACTCAGCAAAATATGGAACGTACACCGTCGTCGACGTGTCAACGAAGAAGGTTCTCCATGTGGAAACAGTGCAGGTAAATTTCCCCTGCTATAAATGTTCTGATGCTTCTGTTCTTCTGGAATGAAACCTTTCTGTAATTAAATGAAAATGAATGGCGAAAACAACTTGTTTCAGACATGGGTTGTCTCATTCAACAGCTCTAGTTGACTTCGTTCTGGATACTTCATGTTTGGTGTGATAATGCAATGTTTTATTTGTCACTTCAGTCCAACGAAACGAAGGGCAGCTGGGCAATGGAGCTCGAGGGCCTGAAAAGGACTCTACTGATTTGTGAAGCCAATGGATTGACTGTGGGAGGAATCATCACTGATCGCCACTCCATGATCAAGTCATTCCTTCCCAAGTGGTACCCCCAGATTCGGCACATGTTCGACTGCTGGCACGTTGCAAAAGGTGAGCCATAAGTAATCGGGGTTCCAGGTTATGCAAAAACAAAAAAAAAACATTTAATTGCAGAACACTCCTACCCTTGCCTGTCACTATACTTTGTTTCTGCGTATGTTGTACTGCAGGAAAGGCTACAAGCGGGAGCTCCTTGCTGTATGGCAACTGCTCGGCGGCACAAGCTCTCGTGCAGCAGGAGCAGCTGCCAAGGCCATGAGCTTGCGCTTCTAGTTTTCGCTGCAGTACAATATAAGCTGAAACATAAGCCGTGTTTACATGAATGCGGCTTAGTCGCATCAAATCCAGTTGTCGCATTCAATGCGGTGATGTAAACAAACAATACAGTAGGAGAGCGCATCGCATTCAAGTCGCTAGACAGAGGTGGATTGAGATGGCGAATGCACATTTATTCAAAACATGTAAATGGAGGTTGCATCGCAATTTGGATCGGGGAGGATTATGGGAAGGCACCCGCTCTGGGAGCAAGTGAACAGCTGAGAACATGGCGGCAGCCACCCTCGGCGGCGGCGGAGAGCAGTCCGTGTGGTCGCCCGCAATATTTTCTCCAGAGAAGAACCGCAAGCTTTTATTGTCAAACTATGTGAGCGACATATAGCAAATCTGCTCGGTAAAGCGGCCCTTGTCCAGGCCTCGCGAAATAGGACCTTCGTGTCCGAAGGAGTCCCTAGAGCCTTCAGTGCAAGGACAGACGCCGATAGCTCTGAGCACTGCATGCTAGGCAGAAAGAGGAGCTCCAACCTCGGTGCCGTTCCTGGCTGTGCCAGAGCCTTTCGGCCTCAGGGTCCGGTCGCGGTTGGCAAGGTTGGGCGAGGTGGCGTCCCCAGAGCGGTTGGGAACGATCTCGCTCACCAGGCCATGCGCATGCCGACTTGGAGCCCAAACTGCTTGGGTTTTGATGTTTCTTCCGTCCCGTAACTATTTGCGCAGCATCGAAGACAGCAGGCACAAACTTTACACTCGACGAAAGCGTCTAAAAAGTAAAGTGTCCTAGAGTGAGGTATCGCCATGTTTTTTTTATACTTGAGAAAATGGGGCAGGATTGGGTTTTTCTTGTTTTTGGTGTTCATAATTATGAACTCTTTATTTTGTCAAGCTGTTGTTTCTGGCAATGTAAGCTTGGTGCTTAGCAGAATGAATACAATGCTTCATTTTTCAGGCATCAAGAAACGCATGGTCTCAGCTGGGAAACTCCAATCCCTTGTGGGACTCCAAGACTGGGTGCAGGCAACTGTCAAGCACCTCTATTGGTGTGCGGAATCCAGCGATGGAGCGCCAGAGGAGATCCTTCCTAAGTGGACTTCCCTGGTGGGACACGTGGCTGACTTGCACGAACATGCCGACCCCCTGTATCCAAGGTGCCAGCACGGAGACCTGGGGAAGAAAAAGTGGCTTCCTGAGGGCAAGTAGACCACAGCATATTAACAGTGTTGACATGTTAGTGTTTCATACCAAGTGATGCTGTGAAGTATACACCAACTCATGTTTGCAAACAAACAGGTCCGGCCGATAGCAGTGCCACACATTGCGCAATGAGATGTGGGCAGACATGCTGGTCTGCCCACAAGTCTAAAACAAATTTTGCCTTGCACGCATGCTTGTCAAAGCCTTATGATTATTTACTTTGAATCGTTTATAAGAGGAAGACCAGCGCTCGTGGACCATAGAATTACACTTTCAGCGTTCTCCTCAATGCTTGGGTATTTAGAAAAAGGTCTGCTGCGACGCTGTCTGCTTTTGTGTGGTATGAATACCCGGCCGATTCAGTCAAGGCAATCCGTTTTCCAAAGACGTTGCCATGCTGACAATTATCGCATTCATTTAGGCTTAGAAATGGCCAGAATGGAAAGACTAAAAAATGTGGCACTGACTCATGCTTTGCGATTTAAGTGAGGTAAGGCAAAGTGAAGGCTCCTGCACCATTCGTTGCTGATTAACGCACCCGATACTGCAGCTACAACGACATATTAGTTCCAAAGCGAGCAGCGCTAACTCACCGGGGCACTGCCATGTTTCCCCGCATCTCTACCGAGCCAGTCGCGTGATTTCAAAATCCCTCGCCTAGGTACTGCAGTCAACTTGTAGCCATAGTTAGCGCTTCAAGCAAACGGGCCCTGGTGTGCCTTTTCTAGTGGAACCGCAATTTGCTCACACATAAAACTTTTGAATTGGCCTCAGGTTGAATTCTTTAACAATTTCAACCAAGTTGTTGTACTGGTTCTTAGTTTCAAGGTGTCTGATTATGAATGTGGCAAGTTTACTGGCTCTCTATACTGGTTAGTCCGTGTGGCAGCCAGGGAAGAACCTATGACTGCTGGTAGAGGGGAGTGAGCCGATAGGTGGTAGCTTCAGCTTTCTTCCGCGTGCATCGTTACCGCGCGGTGTTTATACGGACCGCTGGGACCTGTACTTACATGTTCGGGCACACGAGTCAACCAAGCATGACGATTTGGTGCATCATGCCTTTGCAAAATTAAAATCGGCATCGCTTGGTCTATTCGATAAAAAAATCTAGGCATCATAAACACGGGCAGTAAGCAGGACTGGTAGCAGCCTATTAAACTTACCCAATTTAATCTGTTCTCATCAGCTCTAACCCTTTTATTAACCTCTGGATATCATATATTTTTAATTTAATTACACAGAACTACTACTTTTTCTTATGAGCCTTAGTGTTATTGTTGTAATAGCAGATTTGAAACCACACAGTCTGTAATACAAGTGTCCTACTTTATCCAGGACTTCAGGCACACGACAAGCTAAAGAGCATCGTGCTGTCAAAGCCACTGCTGAAGAACATCCCGCAGCTCTCAACCTCAGCGCAAACCTACGCAACTGAGTGCTTTCACAGCACTGTGAACCAGTTCGCACCGAAGTCGACACACTTCAAGTACGAGAGCATGCAGGCAAGGTATGCAAGCTAACCAATTGTTTGCATGTGCCCGCTAAAGTCTTAACTTTTCAGAGTCTTTGTGGCAGCGCTGCATTTCAACGAAAACAGCGACAGGCCACAGGCGACTACTAAGGAAGGCAAAAAAAGGTTCCTGGTCAAGCGGCCTAAACAAACAAAGAGGCCAATTGCATCTCCCATGAAAGGGCCCTGCACATACGGTAAGATGTCAAAACGAGTACAACTACCAGCTTCTAACATCTAGTCTTAATTTCAGCCTATGTACAAGAGCTCATGAAGGAAACCCTCGCCCTCAATTGCCACTACCCGTCGTACCGAGCTGCACGAAAGGCCAACTGTGTCGAGGCTCCCCCAACTCTGTCCAGTGGATATGAACGCCCCAACAAGGACCTGCTCATCTCTAACCACCGTTCCCGGTTCAACTGCTAAGCTGAAGCTGAAGGAACATGTACTGTCGGGGAAAAATCAAATGCGAACAGAAGAGCGCGTGGCTTGCGGTACAAGCTGCGCCGCCTGGAAGCGAGCCTAGGGGCGAGGGTGCATGGCCTACCCGATGAGTTTACGCCCTTCGCTCGGCACTCCCCAAGCTTCAGCAGTGCGCCTCTTAGTGCACTGAAAGCTATCACCACTATCTTTGCTCACTCGGCGCATGCGGCACAAGGAAGCTTGCTGCTTGTAGCAGCTAAAGCGCGCACTCTCTCGGAGCGAGCAAAGATAGAGGTGGTAGCTTTCAGTGCACTAAGAGACGCACTGATGAAGCTTAGGGAGCGCCAAGCGGAGAGCATAAACATATCGGAGTAGGCCACGCACCTTCGCCCCTAGGCTCACTTCCAGGCAGCGCAACCTGTACCGCAAGCCACGCGCTCCTCTGTTTGCATATCATTTTTCCCTGACAGAACATTGTGCAGGAACTTGAAACATTTATTTACACTATGCACAAGCAGCAAAGCAGTTCGATCTGACGTGTCAATCGCATCTGTTCCGAGCACGAGCCCCCGGCCGCCAGCCCCTTGCCACGAGCTCCTTTTCAAAACGTCTGTGGCCCATTTTCTCGTCTTAGGTCTCCGATTGTTGGTACAGACTCCCCACCGAATGGGTGTTACCCCATTTTAAATTTGTTATCTCTAGCGGATAGAGAAGTTTTCAGAAGACTGCCCCTGTCCGGGCGCACTATACATGCACAAATCCTGCCGTCTCGCCCACAGAAAACCTTTTCAACTCTTCCTATCTTCCGGAGTAAACGTGGGAGCTGTTCCTTCAGAAGGACGAGCCCGCCCACCTCCAGACGTGGTGATTGCTGGCCTTTTGTTTCAAGGGCAGATCGAAGTTCTCTCGGGTAGTCTGACCTCCCGTTACCCAGAGTCTGTTAAAGAATGCTTTCCTTTGTTTCCATATTTCTCGGAGCATCTCTGGAGACGACGCAAAGTCTTCTCTTTCAGCCACTGGAAGTGCTGTCAGTCGTCCTCCCCTGAAAAAGCTAGTCGGTGTGAGCGGCTGGCCTTCGTCAAGCTCATTGTAAACGAATGTTGGGGGACAAGAATTTAGCATCGCCTCAATTTCGCATAGGACTGTGGACAACTCTTCTGCTGCGTTCATAGTTTTTCTCCCGATCACTTTTCTTAGTCCCACCTTCACATATCAAACCAGTCGCTCGTAGAATCCTCCCCACCAAGGAGCACGCTCAACAATAAAACTCCCCTCGATGGTTGCATTGGCGAAGTGATTCACCACTTCTGAGTGTCGTAGGATCTTCCGAAGTTCTGCCAGGTCTCTGGAGGCTCGCTTGAAGGTTAGCGCATTGTTTGAGTAGATGATGCGGCAAAGTCCCCTCCATGACACAAACTTACGGGCAGCTACAAGAAAACTTCTCGTTGAAACGTCTGGTACGAGCTCCAAGTGGACCACCCGCGCCACTGGACAAGTGAGCAGCGTGATGTACGACGTCCTTTGCCTGTATGTACAGCAGTCCTGCAAAATCTACACCAACTACCTCGAAAGGTTCAGCCTGCGTCGTTCTCGTACGCAGCAGAGGTCCCGCTGGAGCACTGGAGCACTCGCCGGAATAGCACTAAATCGCACTAAAGCGCAGCATCTTCTTCACCAGCTCTCGTACCCCGAAGGATCCAATACCTCTCGCGGAGCTGGACTGGAGTGTGTCTTACTCCTGCGTGTAACACCATCCTGTGAGCGTCGATCACAAGTACCGTGGAATATCGATGCTCTTTCAGTAGTACGATAGGGTTTCGTTCATCGTATGTCATGTTGTTCGATCGGAGTCGCCCTCTTATGCGAAGCACTACCTCTTGGTTGATGAAACTACTGAAGTCTCGAAGAGGAGAAGTGGATGGGGTCTCGGTTCTGCTGGTCGCACGTCGAAGCTTGGCGGCAAACGCCGATATTAGCTTTTAGCCAATATGTCTGCGCTCCTTGGATTTCCTCTGCAGTCAGAGGCCCCGATTGTTTTCCCGTTGACCTAACGTTGTGAAGGAATCGAAACATCCACACTCTTGTTCTGTTGAGTTTTGAAGCTGAGCTGAATGCGGTGACATCAAGCAACGTTGCAGATGGTGTTGAAATGTCCAATATGTCAGCTCTCGGTCCCCTCTCCTCGAGCTTATATCGAGGTGGCTCCTCGCGCTTCTCCTTGGGCCATTCTTTAGCTGGCAGCGGCAACCAACTGGTCCCCGAACAACAGAGTGGAGTGGAGACCAATCCAAGGTGGTCAGACCTCGTGACATGAGGTCGGCGGGGTTCTCCTTTCCCGGCAGGTGGTGCCATGTCACACATTGCAGTTCTTCTGTGGCATTCCAGCAACCTTGTCATTTGCCAACCTGATGTCTGCCCTCTATGGAAGGCCGACTTCGCACCTCCCATTGGTCTTGGCGATCATAGTTTCGGAGTCTCGCATGACATCGTTGTCCGAAGGATCGTCCACCGATGCGTCGATGACACCCATCCTCTGAAGTTCCCAGAATTGCTTGAGGCTTGGCATGGGTTCGGGCTCTTGGACCGCCGTTCTCCGCATGACCACCCTGGAGCAACTAATAACCGGGGAGCTTGACCCTTTTCGTCCCTGAACCGCCCATCCGAATACGGGCTGCACTGCAGTCAAGCTTCCTCTGTCGGTGAATCTTTCCAATGATGTACTCCCAGTAGTGATCCGGGCCAAGCAGGATATCGATGCCCCGATGTTCCAGTCCGGTCATGGCATCTCCTACTAAGCAACCGAGCTCCTTTAATGTCGCGACGATGGATTAATCTGGGCTCGGGAGATTTTGTTCGCAGATGGTAGGTGTTTCTAGCATGTCGATTTCATATTTTTTGTAGTACCGTTGGTCCCGCAAAGTAAGCTGCACCCTGCGAAACATACGTTCGGTGCTTTCGCCTCTGAACACGCCGAACGTGAGGATCTCCATCCCGAGTTGTTTGCAACCGAGTCTCTGGGACAGCTCCTCAGTAATGAAGGAACGTTGACTGCTGCTGTCAAAAAGAATTCGGGATAGTCTTCTTTTGTTTTTGTTCTCGGCCCATGCGGTCACCGTCTGCAAGAACACTGCTGGCTTGCAGTTCTTTCCATTGATCTGAAGACTGACCGGTGTTTTATCTTCGCTTTCTGTTTTATTTACCGCGAAAAGTCGTTCCAGTACGTAATCCGGGCCACACATAGTAGGCGCATGCCATCCTTGACACCTGGTGCAACACGGCGTGCTTCGGCACATTCTCGCCGTGTGGTTTGCTTTTGTGCAACGAAAGCATCTGTTGCCAGCCTGTAATCTTTGTTTTTTTTTCTCAGTGAGCTCAATATTGGCGTTGCAGTCAGGTGTGGCGTGTTCTTCGGATTTGCAGAACTAACACTCTAAGCCTTCAGTCTTGCCATACAAGGCCGCTGCGGTAGAGTTTCGAAGGTTTGTGTAGTTTGAAAGTTTCTTCGGCAGTTCTTGTTTAGGGAAACGAATTGCAGGCTTACCGCCAAAGTCGTCCTCTTGTTCCTCTGACGTCCTTTCCCAGCTCTCGACTTCAACTCGAATAAATTTGAGTAGAGTCTGTAGAGCTCTTAGATGAACATTCTCTGTTGGAGACTCGGGACTGGTGCCCGTCACTGCGGTGGCGTTCTTGGTGTCCTCCAACGACATCTTCCGGTTGTAATCCAGGGACATGTCCTTCGGTAGTGCTCGCAGTAGGAGCGAGTAGAGCATGGCGCAGTAGGATTCCTCGCCCACACCCAGTACTCCAAGTCCCCAGATGTGCGCCTGAAGACTGTCGTACAAACGACGCAGGGTTCGGGCATTGCCCTGTAGTGGTACCTTCTGGATGTCCATCAGACTTTCCATGTGGTTGTGTACCAGAGTCTCTTGCTTGCCGAACCGCTGCTGTTGAAGGTCGATCGCGTCCGCATAGCATTGAGCGGTTGGCTGTAGTTTCGGATGGCAGCTGATCCATCTCCGGTAAGCGCTGATCTCAGGTAATTGAACTTTTTCGATGGAGTCAGTTCCGGATTCTCGTGGATTGTGGTTTCACTCCCAGAATGCTTGCCAATTCTTCCGGTTGCCGTTGAACTTGATAAATTCTAATTTTGGAAGCTTGACTTTCTACGGCTGTTGCTCTCCAATCGTTCGAGGGACCACTTGCTCGTTGGCTGTTCTCCACGCCCTTCGCCTTCTTTCTGAGCTTCGTGAGGCATGTGACAATCTTGTCAGTATAATCTATGATTTGCGTGAACTCCATTTTCACGTCTCTTTCGGTAATCAAAGGCTCGATCGCGGCATCTACGTGGCCTAGTTGATCCCGAGAGAGGCTCATGCACTCAATCAAAATCTCTAGGTCATCGATGACTGCTGGAGTCAGCTGAAATAATTCTTTTGCCTCGCTGAGGAGTTTAGTTACTTGTGTTTGCAGAGTCTTCCGTTTCTTCTTGAGGATGTCCATGATCTTTCAGTCTTGTCTCGATGGAACGTTGCTTCTGTCGTTCGATAGGTATTGCTTCGGTCTACCAGATTCCCTTCGTCGAATCGTTACGTAGCGGGTTTCCGCACAAAATGCATGAACTTCTGGTGGTCATTGTTGGTTACGTTGATGCAAACATTTATTTACACTATGCACAAGCAACAAAGCAGTTCGATCTGACGTGTCAATCTCATGTGTTCCGAGCACAAGCCCTGGGCCATGCGCTCCCAGGCCACTAGCTCCTTGCCATGAGCTCCTTTTCAAAACGTCTCTGGCCCATTTCCTCGTCTCCAGTCTGTGATCGTTGTTACACATTGTTTGTAAAGTAAAAAATTGGTTAGTTTGCAATAAACAGTGAGTTTCTTATATGTCAAATATTGATCTCTTCATTCTAACATTAATTATGTACTGCTCGTGCAAGCTGTTGCTCCCAAGTGCTTGGTAGGAAAAGATACATATTTAGGAGGTTTGAAGGTAGATAGCATGCAAACTTACTCAGCACTTTGACTGCTTGAAGCCCGTGTAGTCTGCAGGGTTCGGGGCG